ACCATGGTGACTGTGTGGTGAGGGTCTGTCTCAGTGGCCATGGCACTTGCTTTCTGCTCTGTTAAAAGCAGATGTCAGCTCATGGAGAAGAGAAATGCAGCAAAGCAACTCCCTGTGTTGGTGTGAGATGTCTGTGGTGGGCTGTTTCTAGTTTCAGTGGGTTTGTTCTTTTTTTAGCCTTCACCGGAGCTCTGTTCAGAATGCACTTGGGCCTGCAGGGCCTGGCGGGCGGCATCGTGTTTGGAGCAGCATTTGGGTGAGTTGTGAGCCTGGAATCACAGGTGGGGCTGCAGGAGCTTCCCTTCCTCTCTTGCCTTGAGGGGTTTTCTGTATCTCTCTTAGGACCTCATGATGATCACTTTTCTTCCAACCTTTAAACTGTTTTTCTTTTCTTCTTTGTTTCTTGTTTTGTGTTTTGCTGCTCTCTCAGTAGTGAGAGCTCAGTGCTCTCAGTAGAGCATCTTATTTGCTGCTGTTTGCTTATTAGAGGGAACAACATAGGCTCCACCAAAACTAAAATGTGAAGCAGCAGCCATTAGGAAACACTGAGGGAGCAGCTGCATGGCTGGGCTGTAAGGTGACACATGTCTTCATGTGTTTCTTGCAGTCATGAGTCTCCTAAAGTTCCCCGGGACATGGAGGAGCCCATGGTTCTCTCTCAGAGGCTCTGTGCTTCTGGACAATGACTTCTAACTCAGGAGAAATCTGACTTTTCAGATTGGCACCATCAGGATGGTGTCAGCTGTGGGCATGCCTGGGAGCAGCCTAGGGAGCTGTACCAGTGAGAACACAAGTACTTCCAGAACTGGATGGAAGCTGAGCAGGGGTGTCACTGTCTGAAATTTGGTTTAGGTGTTCTATGAGATCTTCCTTGGGCACCATAAATCCTTTCATCCCTTTGTCCTATGTGTGCCTGTCAATGAGTAAATTCAAAATACATTATCACAGGGGCTCCAGTGAGTCACAGCTGAAGAGAAGCTGTGGTTGGTGGGTGACAGTAGGAGTACCTTAGTCTTGACGTGATGTGAGTAGTGGGGAATGTGACACTTCCTTCATGCAGCATCTGGCCCCTGCCTGAACCTTTTGCTGATGCCAGTAAGTTATTGCTGTTGTGTGTCCCCTGGGTGACTGGTGACTTCTCTGCTTCCTCCTTCAGGGTCCCTGCAGGAGGCCTCCTGATGGCAATGTATGGCTTGGCTGGTGAGACCCTGCAGGAGAAGAGGAGTCGTGAGCGCAAGGAGCTGTACGAACAGAGGCTGGCAGAGTGGTGAGGAGCAGCTCTGCCCCTTCCAGTCCTGGGCTAGGAGGGTGTCTGGGTCTTTGTTCAAACATTGAGAGAAACCACAACACACTAGGCTTTCTAAACCTCAGTTCTTCTCTTGGTTGTTGCTGTTGTTCACATACCAGACTTAGAAATGCCGATTTAGTCTTGCCAATCTTTCCTTCATTGCTGCTTTCTTTCCATACCTATTAAAGAGAGGAAAGAAGGAGGATAGCTGGAGGCTTGGGGGGGAAAAAGCCGTGACACTGGTCATGTGAATTACTGAAACTTACTAGTTGTAGAAGAAATTTTCAAGAGCTTGGATTCTGCAGTCATGTCTCTGTCAGGAGGATACAGGCATAAAATTGCTTTGCACTCTCTCTTCTCTCCTTAGGCAATCCAGGCTCAGTATGACTGAAATCTTAGGCCAAACAGAAAACAATGCCCAGGGAAGACCAGAGATGGAGAGAGCAAGAGAATTGAAGAGCTACTGAGTCTTCTCCAGATCTCTGTTGTAAGAAGCATTTTGATCCTGCTTGTAAAAGCCTTCAGTCAAGGGATCATGGAAGTTGTCTGTGAATGCAGTTGTATCCTGTGAAAAAGTGTTTTGCTGAAAACATTGGTCAGGGATGGATATCACTGCACAAAGAGCTTGGGAGGGCCAAACCTGTTCCACCTGAGAAGGTGGAAGTACAGAGACTTTACAGACCAGGAAGTGTCATCTAGGTTTGGCAGGAATTGGGGGCTCCAAGGCCTCATCTTGAGCCCATTTCACTGCTGAAAATGTCCAAACCACCAGTGATGTAGAAGTACTCAAGGTAAAGAAGCCTATGGATGGTTCATGTGCTAAAGGTGCACTGATTCCAAAAGTTAATTATGCCCTGGTGAAAGCTGCTCTTCAAACAATGCCTGAAGAATGTGCTGATGGTGGTTTCTTACTTGGTTCCTACAAATACCTGGGGTATTTGGCAGTCAGTGTGGAGGAGCTGAGAATTATATGGAAATACCCTGAAAAAGGCATGATTTGGGTTCCTCAATAGAAGCCTGAGGGGGCCACAGAAAACATGACTTATTTTTGGTGGTGATTATGAAAGACTTGGCACTGTGGACAGTTAACAATAAGAAGGCCTCTAATTTCATTTGCAAGTTGGAAATTAGGGGGTGACCATTGTAGTTCAAGACACTCAATAAAGCCATCCAGCAGTGACTGTGTCCATGAGCTCTTTATGTCAGTACAGCAGGTACTCTATGCTGGTATAGTGTTGGTACTAGAGAAGCATCCTTGAGTGATTCTCCTTGAGAAGAGCTCTAAAATCCCACCAGACATTCCTCTACCTAGGCAGTAACAAAGGCAAGAGCCTCGAGAGTGCCAGCTCTATTATTTTGTTCCAGAGACGAACTGTTAAGTCAGAGCTGTTACCTGTGGGTGGTGCTGGAGTTACTGTGAAATGTTCTGTACTCAGAAGGGTGAGGTGGCCCATCACTGTTCCCCCAAAGCAGGAGGTCAGAATTCCTGTTCCCTTTCTTTGTTGGAAATTTTTTTGTCCTACTAAAAGGGATTACATCCAGGTGCTCTTTTCATAAGAAAAGTATCTGTTCTGGTTGAATGCTTTTCCAAATAATTACTGTTGATAGAAATATGAACAGTCGATCCCACAGAGTGTATTCCACCCACCTAAAGCAGATTTTTGGCACAGTTTGCTTTCAATAAGATGTTGTGTTTTCTGACTCCTGAAGTGAGCATTTAATTTTTTAAACACCCCAGTGCAGCTCATTTTTCTATTCAAGAAACGTGTATTTCAGTGTTGTCATCGACCAGCTCTGATTTTCCTTTTCCATGTGTAAGTGAAGGATATGCATAATCAGAAGTATGGATATATCTTTCACTCTTCCTGTTTTAAGCTCTGCATGTGTTGGTGACAGTAATGGTGTTGTCCTTTGCCCCCCTATCCCCTCAAAAAAAAAGAAAATAGGCCTTTCTAGGTCACATTTTTGTCATTGTGCTTACACAGCGACGTCTTATCTTCTTCTTTTTTATCTTCTTTCTTCTTGCTATTACATCCCCACCCAATATCCAACACTCTTATCTGTACAGCAGCTCTGATGACATTTAGCTGTGTCATTGCTCTGTCTCTATTCCTGTTTGGTGGTATTTGATGTGATGCCTAAGGAATACTAATTTTCCTGTGCCTGACCATTGATGCAGGGATGTTCTTTAATGGGAGGGAAGGCAGAGCCAAGGTGTAGCAGTTGTGTGGATTTTCTCTCTGTGCAAGGGAGGGCTGCTACATGTTCTTATGCTGCTTATAAGCCAGGGGAAGCACTCAAGATTAGCAGCCATTTGTTTCTCAGTTTCTTGCTGAATTTAGTTCCCTGCACTTCCTTATTTCTTAGACTCCCGAATGGAGAGTGAAGAATTGATTCAGAGCTTGTTTTTTACATACACCTGTAAGGGATTCTTCACATCCCCTCTCTCTCCACCCCCAGCAAAAGCACAGCACTGAAATTACTGACCCTCTACTTTCAGAATAGGTAACCCAAGTACCAGGGGTACAGTGAGAATACCTTACACTGGGTTTTGCTTTTGCAGAAAACCTCCTGTTTGGAGGGAGAAAGATGATCTCTAGCTACACTGCTCAGCTAACCCCAGGTAAACTGACAGATGTGAGGGGTGTGGAAGTCACAAGTTGGGTTACCTGAGTGTCATTTTGTCATTGCTGTCAGCACACCGGACAGAGCTGTGGCTTGATGCCAGTTGTACCTGGTACAGCTTTGTCAACACCTGCATCACCTACCTGGATGCTGTGAAATGGTGGCTAACATGAATAACAGAGGTTCTACCCAGTGCATAGACAGACATCTTTTATTACTAAAGAAAGGAAAGTTAGTTTACAATTTATTTTTTAATACAATTAAAGGAGGAACCCCAGGAAACAACATTATATACAAAACACCCATGGTAAACAGAGCAGCTCACTTGCTACAATGACACAGATAAAAAGCTGAGAAGGTCTCACAGGAACCATCTATGTGCAATTCACTGAATACAGCATAAGGCAATAGAAAACGTGATCCAGAGCATTAGTGCTTAATGAAAAATGAACCATATAACCTGCCCATCAAGCCTAGAAAAATAACCTGATGCTAGACATATTGATCAATGAAATTTTTGGTTTCCTTTGGGAGAAGTTACTGAAAGTGTTACTGGACTCTGTGGTGATGTAGAAAGGTTTGACACAGTGCAAAAGACAAACCCTTCTGCGAGAGGCTGTGCAGAAGTAGAGAGAGCATGGGATAGTGAGAGGGAAAACATGCTGGTACAACTGGCAGAGCTGTGGTGTGGCTGGCAAGGTGCAATTGCAGTGTGGTTATAGGGAAGAACAGTGTTGGAAATTAGCAAAGTTGGAAGTGAATGCCAAGAGAGGGCGGTTTGTGCTGGAACAAGCATAGGCTGAAAGAACAGGAAACCTGAAAAATGTGAGACATCATTCATGCACCAAGTCCTGCAATAGGGTCAGGCTGCCTTTTGGAAACACTCTGATTTCTGTCACTTGTGTTCTCTTTGCAACCAGAAGATACAAGTGCAATTGTTTCCTTATCCTCCATATTACCTCCTTTTCTCTGTCAAAACTCCTCTGTAAGAATATTCTGAAGTTCCCATTACACTTGGTACAATGGGAAAGCAGTAAAAAGGTGATGGCACAGTATGACTCTGCAGGAGTAGAAAGGGACCATTATCTTACTTAATTTCTGAGTTCAGTATCCTAAAAACCACTTTAAATTCTCCTATTTTCTCCAGCAGTTTCTGAATATGTACCAACTAGGAAAAAAGTGAAATGGATGGACTATGTCTGCTGCGTCCTAGGAAGAGAAGCAGCTCAAGTGACAACACATCCCACAAAGAAGATGGCATTGTGCTTTCAGACTTTGATTTGCCCTGATAACGTGGATAGAGCAGTGCAGGAATTGGTGCAGCTTGCAGAGCAAAAGGGAAAAACATTAAAGTCAAACTCAGGGCAGGGTTGAGCTAGGTTAGTAGGCAGAGTTACTTAGGAAGCTTATTAGGAGTTGGGGCATTTTCCTCCTTTCCCCTGAAAATGAGAAACCATTTTTTCCTACATAGTAGGCAAGAATAACACCAGGATCAGATGAGTCCTGTCCAATGTTAGCATCCTGTAGGGAAATTCCTTCTAGTCCTGGCTGGGTAGAGAGAACACTGGCAGAAAGCAGCAACGTTCAGTGTGAAGTAAATATCCTCGTGTTGCTGTGAGAAACTCCCAAAAATCTGCAGAGCTTTCCCTTAAAAGTATCCCGTGACAGATGTACACACAGAAGCAGACCCCTGTTTATGAAGCAAGACCCCGAGTGACATTTGGTTACAGTAGATACACACGAGGTCACCACTGGCTGTCACACAAGTTCCAATGTGTGTGAGTGGGAAGGAATGCACACCAAAGCTTGGCTTTGTGTGTGCACAGGGTGTGTGCCCTCACACAGCAACTGAATGGAGGAGCTGTGCCTGAGTGCTTGGGTTGGCAAGGCTGTCCTTTCAAGAGAGAAATGTTATGAGAACTTGTGCCACTGCAGTAGATAAGCAATATTAATTAGCTCTTAGGAGTGCTGCCAATGTGTATCATTCCCTAAAAAGTCTAGTATGCAAATAAGCATGAGGCACATAGACTCACTTCCAAGGTGTCTTTTTTTTCATGAAGAATGTGTCCACTGTTGCCTCTTTAGGGGAGAAGAGATGTGTATCTGTAATGGTTGAATCCAAATTCAAAGTCGTCCAGTGGAAAGAACAGATACTTGTGTGAGGCTGAACGTAAAAGTTTTAGCTGCTCACGCTACCAACGTGGAGGCACAAACTGACGAGATTGCATGTCAGGATTTGGGGTGTCCCAAAGGGCAGCTCCGTGTTACTGAAGGGGTAGGTGGGCATGGGCTCCCTGTTAGGGCTCTGCAGCCCCTGATTCTCACAGAGGCACCATCAAGCCAGAGGTTCCTGAAGTCTTGACCTGGTGTGCCACTGGTGACATCCTTCTGCCAGAGGGTCCTCTCAGCTGGAATCCCAGCGACCTCGTCTGTAAGGAGGCCATCACACAGCCTCTGTGGCGTGGGTGGGGGTTTGCATTCCTTCACAGGAGGTTGTGTTGTCGGCCGTGGTGGTGAGCAGAGTTTTTTTTATTCCTGCTGGCCCCGCCTTGCAGAGAGCCAAAGGGTCCGTGCAGCAAGCATCGCTGTACAACCAACAGTGCAGTCGGCAGTGCGGGATGCACAGCGTGGACAACCTGAGGGACTCGAGGAAAAGATTTCACTGAGATTTTGTTTTTCACACCTCAAAGGTACCCCAGTAATGCTGCAGAGCCGACGAACAGGTATCACCTGCGAGAGCCTTCCACAAGAGGGCTCCTGGTCCCTAAACTCGGAGCTGTTCTGAGCTGTTCTGGCTCAGCTCTTCCTGCAAAACCTTGGGAACAGAGTGAGGATTAGTAATGAACGTGCTTCCCATTTAAGCGGCAGTAGGACATGGCTGAGAGCATCACGAGATGGCAGTGAGCCACAAAGGAAGCACAGCTTCCATCCCAGTCCACAGACAGCAGATGTCCCAGGCGCTGGAGTCGGCAAGCACCAGCCACCTACAGGAAAATCTTGGCAAACTTTTATAACAAAAGAGAACGGGTTTATTCTGTAGGTGAACTCCTGTCACTCCCATCACAAAACTCCCCAAAATTCATGCCAACCAAGGTTCTTGTATCTGTTCCAGACAGGGCTTTCCCCAGAGGAAAACATGAGTGGGTGGTCAGGTTTGGAAATGAGACGAGTGGCCTGAATGAGAGTTTCCCCTCCTTTCCATCTCAAAACTATTAAACTTTTAGATCTTGCAATGCACAGTTTGACAAACTCATGACTTCCAGACCCCACAGCTGTTGCTCTACGGCATTACCCTGGCAATTCCACAGGCATTACCCTGGCAATCCCTGAGAGCAGGAAATGCAGTCACCTGGATAATGATGTGAATAAGAACAGTTAGCTGCTAATCTTCTCTTAAGTCTCCTCACTTAAGTGTCTTTTTGGAAGACACGGCCCTGAAAAATGCTGAGCTTTCAAGCCAAAGCAAGTATAATCCTTTGTAATCATAAAACTTTGCCAAGCCAGACTTCCCCAGCCCATCTTTTGTAACATTCCATTATCGAAAGTAACTCCTTTTAAAATATGAGTGATTTCTGGGCAAGTCTGAGGGAGGAAACTTTTCCTTCTCCACTCCTCCAGCTACTGAAGGGAATGGACGTATCTCAGAAGTGGACTGGCATGTCTGATCATACTAGGAAAGCTGGAGTTGTTCTTTTGTTCCCCCCTCCCTTACCACCATATGGTCAATCCTCAATTTCTATCATCAGCGATATTCCCATGTTGAGTCATCAGATCAGGCACAATGCTCACAGGGAATCAGCCAGGACCTCTAGGGGATGAAGCCACATGTGGCACCTGAGGTAGGGATGAGTAACTCACAGGTGAGCCCAACAGGACAGGCACTAAAAGACTGCCCAGTGTTTAGTTGGGACGCCCATAAAATGAGCACAGGGGCAATGGCAGGGGATGTCACTGCAGATCCTGACAGCTGCGGTGCTTTGAGCTAATATTGCACGAGCACGTGAGAGTATTTGAGAAACTGTTTTGCCAAGAGAAGAGTGAAGAATACTACCTGCAAGTGCGATCTAGTCATACAGATGATGTATCAGCTGTCCCTTTAGAGCTCATGGGTGCTTTTGTATATTCCTTCACACCGTCTTCCACTGAATCCTGGTGCTTACAACAGTGAGAACAAACTGAAAAAGAAGATCCCTTGTTAGCATATGAATATGGTCATAGTCTGATCTGATAGAAAGCTCTATTACAAATAGATATCGTCTATATAGTGTCATATGGATAAAACCACTCCCATTAACACAGGGCTAGAACTTTAGCCTGGCACAAAAACAGGTTGCTACATGCTGAGATAAGGTCAGAAGGGAAATAATAATGGAAGTTACATGTCACTAATTGCAGTTTACCTATCGAGTGAAAGAATGCCGATGTTAAAACTAAAAACTCTTTCAGTGCTGTAAGAGGATCTCAGATTAAGCAGATCCCCTTAATATCTCACCATCTATGGCTGAATTTTAGTAGCTCAAGTTGAATCTTGTTCAATTGGGCTTGCACAAATTACACAACATGAATCTTAAGCTATTCTTTAGGTGACATCTAATCTTGGTGCTTTGTGTTTTCATTCTTAAAGTACAGCAAAATAGGCTGTGAACTCCTCAGAGTAGGCGGCTGTGAACCTCAACAAAGCACCTGATTGTTTTGGCCACAACAACAATCACGCATCTGAGAAATCTTACTTCCGTTTGGTTTTGCCCTGCCTTTCTGTTCTTCCCTCCCCTACTTCAGCTCTTTGAGGCATGGCTTTTCAAGCTCGGAAACCACTCTTAGCAACTCCTGACTCAGCTTGCCATAGCCCAGAACAACAGAGGTACTCTCAGACCTATTCTGAGCTCCCAGGAGAGCTCTTGAAAGGTGACCTGCAGCAGCACCCACAGGAAGCACTCTTAGGGCAGATATTTCCCTTCCCAGACAGGTGGCCATGCACAGCAGCACTGAATGGGACAGCTACACAGACTGGAAAAGCTGCATGGAAGCTCTGGCTTCAGTTTCTTATACTTCTTAGAGTTTCTTTTACAGTTTCTTTTACAGTTTCTTTTACAGTTTCTTCCACGCCTGGTCTGGAAAGTGGCTGAACCAAACAATACCACCCGACTCAGCAAATCTACTCCCTGTGCATATTATGGAAGTGGGACTAAAGGGGAAATTCCAGTTAATGCAGCCATGTGCCATGCTGTTTGCAGGTGATTGCATTCTACCACAAGGGTATGCTTTTTACATCTGCTTTAAAAGCAATTCCGTTCCTATATAAAAGGCTATCTCAGAGTGCTCCAGGATCTTGCTAATTTAATGGTAAGGAACCTTTTAATTTCCAGCCCATATTTGTTGAGAGCCAAGTCTTCTGATTCCAGTTAATTTTCTCCTATAATTAGAAGTTCATTATACATGCAGCTAACAGCACAGCCTGTGATCAACTGTGATTTTCTTGGTTTCAGCCTGCTTGTTGCTTTCCTGTTGACACAGCCCCAGGGAACAGCAGGGGAGAAGAACTGGCACTGGTGTCATAAGGGCAGAGGGGTGGAAAATGAGGAGGTGCACAGGTGTGACCCAGAGTCACTGCCTTCCAGAAGCTTCCTTTCTTTGTGATAAAACACTAAAAGGAAATTAGCTCAGCTTGATTCAATGGCCACATTGCTTTTTGAAGGGATGTGGTTGATGGGGAAGGGAAAAGAAAAATAGTAATGAGACCTCCACACGTCTGAGTTGGGAGTGAACTTATCTGAAATTGAAGTAAAGGTACGAGAAGACACAAGCATGGCAAACGTACAGGTGTCTGTAAGTGGACTGAGTCCTTGGTGCCCAGAAAATGACCTTTTCCAATGAGGAATATCACAGCCAGATGCTGTAAGTGGCCCAAGCATAGAGTCCTCAGAGTGGGATTCTTGTTCCCAGATGTGGCTTCCCTGGTGACCTGACAGAACCCCCAGCTGGGTGTTATTTATCCTCATGTATTTGCAAGGCCTGCTGTCATTCTCCAGGACTGCTCTGCAAAGCTGCTCATGGGGCATGGATAAGCATCTCAGTACATAAGAATGAATCTTTGTGAACCTCTTCATTATCCCTGATTTTGGAAATATTTTGATCTGCTGTCAAAACTCCCTGTCACCTCTTCACTCTCAAACCTGAACTCAAGTGTTGCCTGCACACAAAATGTAGGAAAATCATGAGATAGACTTATTGTGACAGTGGATGCTGGAGGGAAAAAAAAAAAAGGAAATGAGAAAAAAGAGAAGAAGGTACAGAAATACCTAGTGTGACAGTAAAGTTTCTATAAATGTGTA